GTTGCTGATCCCAGTCTTTCACATCTGTTTTACTGCTGTGTGCCATCTTTCTCTGTCCTGGCGACACTGCGGGATTTCCCACAGTGTTCCCTGCAGTTCTTTTCCTTTCAGGCTCACTTCAGACTGCTCCCGTCCCTAACTTTTAGGACCCTCTGTGGGAAGCCATACATACAGGCAGAGGCCCATGAAGCTACATACAAAACCTAAACAGCTCTCATGACCAGGAATACGTATTAAAGTTAAACATATAATTGGTTCCCCCCCCCCCCCGAACATAGCTACTCCCTAAAGACTAGCCACAGGGAATAGTTAAGACCCATCCCCTGACCAGGAGACTTGGTTACCATAACAACTCTCCCTGGAACTCTGCATCCCTGGTCGTTACAACCTTTCACCCTGCCAACATCCTGCTTTATCCTGTCTAACGCCCTTCACCTGCGGTGCCTGGAATCCTGACTGCACTAACATTTGGCTGCCCCTAATTGCCTGCCTGCCCTATCTTCCCCTCCCAACATCCCCCCTGACTGAGTATATCAGCTGGCTGGAGAAAATAAAAAATGCCACTTGATCAGACTCCTGTCTTGTGGTCATTTCCTCCATGTCTCGTGTCCCCCATCCCTCGATGTTGCAGGGTCTTCGTCACGTGTTGATGTGCAGCTTGTTGGGACAACCCTCAGTCACATTGGTATAACCCCGTCAGCCATCTTGACTCCTCTTAAATGGCTGTTTTTAAAAAAGCTCTTTAAAAAAAGATGAATAAAGCAAACTTTTAGCCAAACTAGCAAAGAAAAGCCAGATAGAATAAACAAAGAAAAGTATAGATTAAAAATGAAACATTCTAAGAAGCTAAGAAGGTATTCTGTTCTTGCTGAATGGACCCTTTAATCACTCTTCACTGCTTTTAATATTTTTCATATCAAAGACTATATTATCTGATATAAGAAAATGGCTATACCAGCTCATTTTTCCTATCCATTAGCCTGGAATATCTTTTTTCATTTTTAATTTTAGTTTCCACATATCTTTGCTGGGGAGAGGTGTCTCCTGCAAGCAACAAATAAATGGGTTTGTTAGAGTAAAATGTTAGGGTAAAATGTTATTGTTGGGCAGTGTGAGATTCCTTTGCGCTGAAAAACTGCTACTTTGCCAGGCCAGGAGGCGCCTGGACTTTGAGAGGATTCTGCTTTAGTGATAAATCTGTTCTTTGCTGTCCTGCAACTTTGTGAACCCAAGTACAGGAAGGCAAGGGCACAATTCTTCTCCGGTCCCAGGAACAGGAGGAAAATAAGAGTGTAAGAATGGGGTGAGCCATACAGATAATGGGTATGGGAACAGAACAGGCTGCCTCTGCCAGAAGGCCATAAAAATAACATGTTTAAGGTTGTTACTTTTGATGTATTTCCCAGCCCAAAAGGGCCTATATAAGCTTCTGGCTTGGGCTGTTCGAGGTCCAACCACCCGGCTTGGCTGGCCTGTGTGCCCCAAGTGCGGTCTGGCCCCAGCATGCTGGCGCAATAAACTGCTGTTTGCTGTTTGCATTGCCAGCGAGACTCTTTGTCGTTCTCTGGGGGTTGACTAGCTCACACCCTGACACCCGGGGGCTTTAGCCCGGACTCCAACAGGTTTTCTTTTTTTGATCCATTCCATTAATTTATGATGTTTGTTTGATGAGTTTAAGCAATGTTGGTAGGTAGTAATCTGGTCCTGTCATTTTTGCAAAGGACTATTCATTATTTGATGTAGTCTTTTGTTATTTTATTGTGATATTCCCCACATCTTCCTTTGGTTTTAGTGGGTGCTATTCCTTTTCTCCGTCAAGAGAACATCTTTAAGCATCATTTGAGCTTCACTGGGGAAGAATTTTCTTTCATTTTCAAAGACAAAGGAAAGCTTTGCTAGGTAAGTGATTCAGGGCTGACATGTTTTTCCTTTTAGAACTGGAATATGTCATCCCATTCTCTTCTGACCCGAAGAGCTTCCTTGGGGAGGTCAACAGTGAGTCAGATTGGGATTCCAGCATATGGTAATTGATTTTTTCATGTGCATATTTAAAAATCTTTTCCTGTGTTCAACTGAAGAGAGCTTGATTTTCATGTATTGTAGTAAAAATCACTTTTGGTTGACCTATCTGGAGTTCTGTGCCCCTCCTATATGTTGTTTCCCATTTTTTCTCTAGATTAGGAAATTTTCCCTTATTATTTCATTTTTAAACCCAGCTTCTCTTTCTCTGTGCCTTCTGGAACTTCAACAATTCTTATATTTGGGCTTTTGATAGAGTATCTTAATCTTGGATACTTTCCTTAGCTTGACTCAGTTCCACTTTAAGCTTTTTAAAATGTCTTGCAATTCTGAGATTCTTTCTTCTGCCTCACTCATTATTGAGGCTTTCCACTGATTTTTTTAATTTTAATTTTTTAAAATATAGTTTTGGCAATCTTTACATAGTTAATTAGGGTAAAAAGGTTCAAGGGTTGTAGGAAAGTGGGTAAGACTATTATTTTTTCCATATTATTTCCTTCATGTTTAAAGGGGGGTATTAAGGGGAAGTCCCACCCAATTTCCCACCCTCCCCAGGTCCCGGATGTAGGGCATGCTCTGAGGTTCTTGCTCAAGTGGTTTTGATAGTTCACCAGTTATGAATCGCTGCCAATCTTGCCACTCCAAGCACGATGAGGTCTTTGAAGAATCTACTGATTGACATAGTTCAACATAGAGTCTCTGTTTGCCCCGTATTTCGCTGCCAAGATATAGCTGAGATGGTTGGTTGAGCTGTTCTGTCTTCTCTCTGTTCTTGGTTAGGGTTCTGAGTTCAGCATTTCGATTGGGGAGATCTCCAAAGAAACTTTGTCTGAGGTGTTCTCAAACCAGATTCTTGTATGTGCTAGCAAGTACAGGGCCCGGCACAGTCCATGTCCCTGATCAGCTGGTCCACTGAATTTTTAATTTGTTGCATTGTGTCCTTCATTTCTAACAGTTGGGCTTGATTTTGTTTCAATGTTGCTATTTTCGGTGTGACATAATCCTTAAATTCTTTGAACTCTTGTATGTGTTTCTAGTCACTTGTAAGAAGCTTTGTAACAAGTCTTTTAAATTCTTTATCCCCTGGGTGGAAGGCTGGTTGGGGCTTCTTGCTTTATTTTGCCACTTACCCCTGATACAGAAAAGAGAGAGAGGGAGAGAGAGAGAGATAAAGAGAAAGAGAGAGAGAATGTGGAAGCAATGGTCTTGCCCACTTTCCTGTAACCCTTGACCCTTTGTACCCTAATCAACTATGTGAAGACAATCAAAATAAAATAATAATAAAAATTTGTTATCCACAATTTCTTTGACATCTTCTTCAGTTACATTTGTTGCTTCTCTTCCTCTTCTTTTGCTCTTGATCATTGCTATTCTGGTTAGATTCCTGTCCTTAGCTCTAGTTTCTAAGCCATGTTGCCCGTTGGTGTACAGCTCAGTTTTACTGATTGTGTTCAGTACCTGGTTATTCACTTATAGTCACCTGTGCCATTCCACTGCCGCCCTCTGTTCACGGCTCTCCAGGTGTCCCTCTGATGTCAGTCTGTTCTTTCTTCTTTCCTGGGGAACCACATCCTCTCTGCTTCACCCTTGTAATGATACTCATTCTGTCTAAGTGTGTCCTTACTCTAGCCCACTATTTTGTTTCCCTTTAGTCTGTACCGCTTTATTTTGTCTTCTTTTATGTGTCAATGCAGATCTTAAGGTATAAGCCTGTAACAGGCAGATCACATGAGGAAATAAAGGGAACTGGGAACCATACTTTAGCTACAGGAGTGCACATTCATTGGGTACCCATTGCCTTAATGACAGCTGACCAGTAGTGTTTCTGTTGCAGACTCATCCAGTTTGACTAGAGATTTCCTTCCATCATCACCTTATCACGCAGGTGCCTGGACGTAGTGCTGAGGGCCAGCATTGTGGTGTATCACTCTAGCCCTCCGCTTGTGCACTCCCAAACGAACTACAATATGAGTTCCAGCAGCTTCATTGCTGATCCAATTCCCTGCTAATGTGCCCGAATGCTTAGACCCTTGCATGAATATGGGAGACCCAGATGGATTTCTGAAATTCTAGCATAGACTGGCCCAGCTCCAGCCATTGTAGCCATTTCGGAGTAAACCAGCAAATGCAATCTCTCTCTCTCTCTCTCCCTCACAAACACTGACTTTCAATGCATATGACTTCATTCTTGCTATAAAATAATATGTATTTCTTCACTTTTGGAGATTTCAATTTAGAAAAATTGAAGTACCTGTCCCCACTGACCTCATCAACTGGCTTGATTTTTTTTTTAATGTTTGCTATGGACAGTTAACTGAGGTTAATAATTTAGTTTATTTAGAGAAGTTAAGATTAGTAGTCAGTAAAGAGGCATAGCAGGAAACTCTGGAAGCTTCTTTCCCTCATAATTACACAAAGGATCCAAAATAGCAGAGAGAAACTAGTAGAGGGACCTGTGTATCCAGGAGAACATTAATGCAACTATTTGAAAATAAGCAGGGCCTATCTGGACACACTTGTCCAAGAGATGTGAGCCCAGTGTGACCCCACAGGTCTGGAAAGACAGTCTAGCTCCCAGCTTCACTCAAGCAAGGGAAGGGAGCAGTGTCCCCGCAGTGCCTAGTTGACTGAGTACACAAGGCTTGGCTGGGTCTTGAAATCTTCGGGCAAGTATGATTCTGATAGGATCTAGTGACCAAGCTGAGATAGAAGGTAACGACCTGTGCTTCTAGACATAGATATTTGTTCCTCAATAAGGAATGTGCCAATCTCCCAATAAAAAACAGCTCATGATTTTCCAGAAAAAAGATAATTTGATCCATGGAAAAGGAGAAAATCCTCATCAGAGAGTGATTGAACTACAATCCCATACCATTGGAGTTTTTTTTAAACACGTTGTTTGCGTCTGCACACACAAGCAAGTAATAAACCAGGCCTCTGATACCTTCTAATTCTATGGTGGAATAAAACAGAACTTGAGCTTTTTGCAATGATTTTATTGAAATTGACTGTACTTCAGGCTTCAACAATTGTCTTGCAAATTACTAATCAAAGTGAAAATTAAAAAAGGAAGTTGTGGTCGATTACAGTCTGGGGCCGATGGTCTTGTGACAGTTAGAAAGGGGCACAGTAGACGCTGTCGTATATTGCTTGCTGCAAAACAAAAGCAGACACATAACCTAGCCTCTCAGTGCTCTCTTCAACAACCGAATATTGGAATCAAGACTTCCTGTACTTTTCTCACACTTTTCCCAGACAAGCTACAGAAAAAAATAATTGGCCCCGAAGAATCATTCCCCCGCTCCCCCTTTTTAAAATCTGTCCAGGAGACACTGACAGATGCCCAGTAGAGGCTGGGACTCTGAGAACTTTCTGCTACTAGAGATTTAAGTAGTGTTCTGTCCTCTCCAAAATTATTGTTCACTGAAGTAATGTAGGCCACGCAGATGCTTTCTTACTATTTTCTGACAGCCTATTTATTTGAACTGTTTCTAATACTACTCTTCATCACAGAAAAATTTCAATCTGAACTCAAATAACAAAGTATGATGTTGCTGAATTCCTATTTGGCCTTAGAGTGGAATCGATTGAAAATGTGAACTCTGTAACATATATTTCAGCAGTGCAGTAAAAATCACTCCATCAAAATGTCACTTCTTGTGTTGTTCTGAGTGTTTTAAAAATACTTATTTGTTTATTTGAAAGGGAGCGTGACAGAGAAGGTTAGAAAAAAGAAGAGAAATAGTCCGTTTCTGGTTTCAACACCCCCATGAGATCCCAGCAAGGAGTGCAGGCCTAGCTAAAGTTGGGAGGTAGCAACTTCATCTGCATCTCCATATGAGTGTCAGGAGCCCCTTTATGTGAGCCATCAGCTGCTGCCCCCACGTGCAGGCAGGACGGTGAAGTATGGAGTCGCTAGGCATCCTATCAGGCTCCCCATTATGGAACTCTATCAACCCAGCGTTGCTGACCCTGTTCAGCCTTATGCACATTTTAAGATTTTTAATTATTTTCATTTCATTTCAAAAGTAGACACACAGAAAGGGAGGTTGACTGAGGCAGATTTTACATCTGGGGGTTCATTCCCTGAGTGCCCAGGTTAGCCAAGGAGGGCATAGGCTGACGCCAGGAGACATGTTCTTGATCTTGTGCCCACATGTAGGCAAAAGGGACCCAAGCACTTGATTTCATCCCTTCCTATGTTGCAGGGTGCAAATCGAAGTGCTCAAATCAAAAGCATAGTCAAGATTTAAACTCACTCGAGTTTGGGCTGTGGGCAGCCCTTAAGTGGCATCTTAATAACTCCAAGTGTGTTTTTGATGATGAAATGGCCCAACCATCCTAAAGTACCAGTGATGTTTACTTTTCTCAATATGTTGATAGGTATACATCTCAGTTTTCTAACCTGGGCTGTGTTTGGTGGAGTGGTGGGCTATGGAACTAATACTGAAAAAATCCTCAAAGAACACAAACTTGCATCTGTTGAGGTTTGCTACCAATTCTGGTACCCATGCTGGATTCATGATTTCTGAGTTACAACTGGCATTTGTTCCCTCAAGAAGTTTCTGGTGAATTGCTTGCATTCTTTGTGTGAGAATTGACACAAATGTTATTTTCTGGATTCAAAAAAAAAAAAAATTAAAAACTCCTTCCACCACACCATTTTTGACAGTGGAAGCTCTTTGGTGGTTGCTCCTAAAATGAGTGTCTACTTCGTCTCTTTTAAGAAAATGCATGTGTGCTTCCGTGAGTGTGTGTGCTGCGCGTTTATCATACCTCTGTATGCAGCGGAGTTCTTGTGTACATGGACTTGGGAGATGGGTAGGAAAAAGATTTCTAAAATCTTCTTCTATGTCACTGGAGTTTTAAAATTATCATGCATTATAGATTCATGAAGTGAGTTGGAAAATCATCCTGGGGACAAAACTAATGAAATTGATATATCTGTATACACCTACCTATATCTATATCCGTATCTATCTATATATCAATATATATATCTATATATATATCAATGATCTATGATCTATCTATATATCAATGATTACTGCTGATGGATTTAGAGCCTGCTCCTTCCGGATCAACATGAATAAATCAACATTACCACCATGACTCTAACGTTGGCCAGGGTCTCATTGCTCTGGCTGAGGAAGCACTGTTTGAACTCTTCCACGGCCTCTTTGGTTGCATCCGAGTGGATGTACGGGTCAAGATACTCTGTGTATTCATCCACAGACACTTCTGGATCGATGGTGTGTTCTACTGCGTCCTCCAGAAGCTGGCAGCCAGAACCTGGGGAGTAAATATGAGGAAAAGGACACAGAGCCTGAGGTGGGAGCCATCTGGGAATCCTAGCCCTATATCCATCTTCCTAACAATCATGGAGAAATGAGTTAAAAATGTTATGGAGTCCAATATTCTTAGTTGTAGGTTGGGAAGCCCAAGTACTGGCCTTCTACTGTACCTGAAAATTCTTGTCCTACACATCTCCCGCTGCCCCACGCTGGTGGTGTTTGGGTAATGCCTTTGTGAAGTGACTAATTGGAATAGGATGGCATGGTGAAGCTCCACCCCTTCCCCGGAAGATCAGATGATGGAAGATTTTACAGAGGGAAGACTAGGAGCCTGCCATTTCTGACAGCAGTATTCTGCACAAGCTTTGATTCAAGTTCATCCTGTTCAACTTCTCACACAGTTCCTGCTTGTGTCCCTGGGAAAATACAGCATAGCCCTAGTACGCAGGCTCCTCCAATCACATGTAAAATTTATTTGGAGTTACTGCTGTTTGGACTGGAACTGGCTAGGATGTTATAGCCATTTGAACAGTGAACTGGCAATGGAAGATGTCTTTGCCCGTGTAATTCTGTCTTTCAAATGGATAGATTTTTAAAGGTAAGAAAGATACATGGACATGGAAGAAACTGTGGTCACAGTCTGTCTGTCTCCTTCAAAACTCACCGTGCAGCCCTGAATCATTATTCTGTCATCCTCATCCAACACCAAAACGAAATGGTTTATGAATCATAGGTTGTGGATATCCAAAACCATGAGCTAAAACAACCCTTGCTTTGGGTAACTGCTGCCAATGCAACTACTACCAGGTGGAAAGTCATGAAAACCACTTCATTATTAAAACACAACACTTAGTAACACACCATGTCAGCATTATAATAGAGAACAACTGCAAGATTTTTGAGGACAATAAATGCGTCAAATCTAACAGTATTCCAGAGCTACATTAGCTTTGGTATTTATATGCAAACATAGTATTCAGGAAATTCCCTGCTGTGGCTTGCACTGTAAGGAAGGTATAATGTCATCATTTTGATTCTATCACTTCATGGACCCTGGTATAGTTTATTTACATGATTGTGATGATGACCCTTTTCAGGTTTCCACTGTTGTGCACCATCTGTGTGGGACACTGGATCATCCAGTGGCCTGGACCTTCTCTTGCAGTGAAGTATATTTGCAGAGTGCCAAAGTAGGTAAAGTGAACCACATCACAATGTTATAGTACCATTCAGCCAAGCACTTTCTTTCTGCCCTAAGCGTTTCATTCTAACATCCACTCCCCAGATTCATCCTTGTTTTCTGTGAGGCACAGGAATGGCAGTGAGACACAACATACAGCTCCAGGGCAGAGGCAAGGACCATGGGAAGCATAGCTGGTCCCTGGAACTAGTGGCGAATCTTAGGTCTGTTATACCTGGCCCTTTATACCGTGGCTATCATGTATGGGGATAAAGGAATCAGGATGTTACTCTCAAGGGTTTAAGTACCAATGGCTGTTCCCAGGGTGGCCCTCCCTGCCCGTAACTCACCTGCATAGCAGTAAAGGGGGAGGGCAGCCAGCATGAGGACAATGACCAGCTTCATGTTGAGCAGCTGTTGCTGGTTCTTCACTCGTAAGTGGCTGAGTTGAAGGAATTCACTCTGGAAGGGATCATGGAGAACTGCTGTATTTATTCCCCAGGGAGCCACCTCACCTGTCCCAGAAAGAAGGGGAGGAGTTACAAATTTGATCTGGGATTAGATTGGGAAACACCAGTCTCCTCACTTGGAACTCAGCCAGTAGCCTCTGTTTGCAGAGCATAGGAGGCAGTGAATTTGAACTCATGACCTTGTGATTGTTGTAACGAAACAGTTGTGTTGTTGGGACTATGGTTATACATTTGTTATTCAAGTGTTTACTTTTCTCCCCTTCTCTCACTATTATCATTTTCTCTTTCATCCTCATCTTTGTTGGCTTTCTCTTGTTCCCCTTCTTCGGTATGGAAACAGTTTTGTGGCCAGTATGTCTGGTGCTCCTGAAATGAAACAGCTGGGAGCATTGTAATAATGCCAAGCTGCTGTTGCTATTTTAATTTCATGAACATATGTTGTAAGTGTTCAAAGATGAAAACACATTTATATAGCACTACAGGTTAGAATTCATAGTGGCCCTATTTCAATCTGCTCCTCAATACTAGCATAAGTAGCATGACCATGTATTTATTCCTCAACCTGGAGCACCTTTCAGGATGAAAGGAGACATGAGATAGATCAGGAGACCAGTAAACATACACCTGACGGTCCTGACTCAGGTCAGGTATACTCAGGATGCCCTGTGAGCTGGACCTGTCCTCTATCCTCACGCCGCAGACAGATAATCGTGCTTTCCTGGGAGATAGTGAGGGAGCAGCAGAGTCAGGGTATGGAGTCCAGTGTTCTGAACCCACAAAGTGCTTTCAATGCTTATGCATAGTGACTGGGACTACCAGGGAGCTACCTTTTCATTTGGGTGGATCTTTGTGGAAAGACTGACTGTTGTGCTATGTGAAGTCCATCTACAATCTTCAATCTTCTGAAAGATGCATGGTTTTTCTACTTGATACCTAGAAATCCTGCGGATTTTCTTTCTCTGGCATCTATTTCACTGTGCAGCAAAACACCTTTTTCAGTTCCAGTTGTATCTGAAGTCAAGCGTACGCTATCTCTGTGCTGTCTCTTACGTCTTCATGTCTCTGTACTCATGCCCAGGACCTGACTGTTTCTGAGTTAGTCTCTCCTGACAGCTCCAAGACCCTGACCACTGGCCTTTCTAACTTGTTTCAAACACCTCAGGATACAAATCTTGCTGTTCTTGTCTTTCTACAATAGTGATGCAAAAATTGCCAATAAATAACTCTGTAGTTGATTTGAGGAGGGCAAATTAATTCATTTTAAAGACTTTAATGATTACATGGTTGGCAACCTACCTTGATTTATGGCAGAATAGTACCTTAACTCAATTAAACAAAGCCTTAGTTAAGTAACAAAGATGGCAAATACTCTAAAACAAAGCATCAGGCTTCATCCAAGCTCTTGACACCACGACAGTTATTTCCTAGTTAAGGTTTTGGAGGCTTTGAAGAACCAGGCAGGTGAATAGAGGATGTATAAAGAGACCCCCTCCCCAGGCATAACTTGGGTGATCTTAGGTATCCTTTTTCAGTAGTGATCATTATTTTATGATTTCCCCACCTAATGTCCACCTAATGTCTTGGGGCTGTAGCCAGATTAGAGGACACAGCCAAGGTCAGTTGCCAGGAAATGATTCATTCTTCTTGACTTTTTTACAGAAGTATGAACTTTACACAACTTATGTTTATCTGATAGGTACACTTAAATGCTTAATCCTCATACCCATATGAGCATCTGTTCTGTTCACTAGCTATTTACTTAAATCTGTTCTCCAGGATGCCAGTAGTTTGTTTTTCTAACTCAATACCAAACCAGTCCTGCTGCCTGTATCCCCCCAGGTTTGAAGGCCTCTGATCCTTAGATGAGAAGAATCATAAGGGGAAGTTGTGAGGAGAGGATTTGCTCTGACTAGTTCTGCTTTGTTGTTAGCACGGGCCTTCATTCAGCCTGCCGGGAAAGCAACAGTTAGCGGTCTTAAAGCGGTTGGAGTCTACAGTGAAATTACTTCTGCAGTGCTCAGAACTAGTAACAGAAGCTTGTCTCTTAATACATTCCTCTTAATACTGCATTCCTCTAACTTCTTGTTTCCTTGCTTTCTTGCTGTTCCTCTTAGTCTTTTTGTACAAGTTTCATTAGTATCAAGGAAACACATTTTACATATGTCATAGACACAATTCTAAGAAGATAAGCGTACTTCTCTCCCTCCCTCTTACTAATTTTATTCTTTTCCTTCTTCCTCGGTGTAAGACTGTATGTCAGTGTTCTGTGCAGACAGAATGGAGCTAGGGAAAATTCTGTATTTCTCTGGGAGCCATCTTCTTTCACACGTATACTGTGAATTTTAAAAGGGGGATTTCTGTTTACTAATACCTTGACATCATTATGGTTTTTTAAAAAAAGTTTTTTACAATGACTCCCACTATGTTAATTGAGCTTTAGAACGTCACTGCTCTATATCTCTGAATTTGAAAATGTTTATTTCCTTTCTTGTGATTTTCACTCCCTCAGAGGATACTGTGAATCAGTAGAGTAACTGATTCCTCAGGGCAGGAACTATTGAACAGTGAACGGTGATGTGGTTTATACTCAGGCAGATGTCATTTTGGATACTGGGATCAATGTCTACTCATGAGGTGTCTTTGAGTTACTTTTTTTTTGGTAAATATATAAATGTAGATATACATATGAAAAATAGAGTGTCGTAGTAGAGTTGATTGATGCTGTGGCTAAATCTGCTATGAAATACTCTGGAATGGAGTATTGTTCATGCATCATTCATCGATGCATCATCGAATCATATATCATTTAACATTAGCGTTAGCCACGGGGTTTCTTGTACAAGGAGCTGTGTCGTTGTGCGCCACAGGTTTGGTGTAAGAACACGTAGCAACAAATATGATCTGTTCTGGAGCTTGTCTTCTAATGGGAGAGAAAACGTATCAAAATTCTGCAATAACAGCAAAATGATCCCAAAGCTGAATGCAGTTACTGACTGAGGATGGGGAGTCTCAGGTGAGGAGTCCTGCAGGAGCAGGTGCTGCAGTCAAGGTGTCCTTGGATGCAGGCAAAGCTCTACCCAGGGAGGAACCTGTGCAGAATGTTCTGGGCAAAGGCAAGAACCAACATAGAAGCCAGAGCATGAAGAACACTTGCCAACGTCAAGGAAGCTGAGACAAGTGGCCACATGTGGTCAGGAGAGGGAAAGGACAGCCACCTGGGATACAAATGACAGCCAAGTTTGATTAGGGATAAAGTAAATTAGCTAGAAAGAAGAAAGCAAACAAGTCTTAGATGTTTTAAAAGTTCATATGAGTGTTAGGAATATAAATATTTACAAATGATTTCTTGATGTTTGGATATTTGTGACGTCACAGGAATGGAACGTAAGTTGTCTTGTGCGGTGATCACACCTTGGGGAAGGATGGAGACGTGTGGCATGCTTGTGAGGACATCTTCACACCACTAGCCACGGATAGCTTCGTTAAATCCTAACTCAGTTGAAGATTTGCGTAAAGGGATGAAAGGCAGAATTTATTTGCGATCTGCCTAAGTTATTTCTGAACTTGCATGTCTAATTTATTTGAAAATACCCACTGGTTGGTATAGGGTATCTCCAATAAAGTGTTTATTTTTATAACTTCCATGCTTTTTCTTGGACAGCCTTTGTTTATGTTTCTCTGTTGATTCAAATACTAACACATCCCAGGATGAAAAAAAAATGCTTTACAGGGATCATCAAATCTACTTTTACAGGGGTCATCTGTCTTACAATCCTTGTGTTGGTGACTCAGCCTTTCCCTCCACAAATTAATTCTGAGGAGATAGACTAATGAGATTCAGGAACTTTAGGGCCTTGTGTTTTACGACACAAGTGAAAATTAGGTTGTTCAGAACAGTCCTCTCTCAGACTTTGCACATGAACCTGGATTCATTGTGAAGAGAAGTTATGCCATAAAAGCCCGATACTTTTCGCTTTGAAAGTAATTTTCAAGTAATATTTCTCTATTAACTCTTTTCAGAACATATTTTGCAACGATTATGCATTTGTCAATGCACTTCAAAATTATCTTTAAAGATGGCATTACTTGCTTTAATGTTTATTTTTGATGATTTTTACATAGATGAATAGGGTGCAAAGGGTTAAGGGCTACAGAAAATTAGGTGAGACCATTGTTTCTTTCTTTCTTTCTTTTTTTTTTTTTTAAAGATTTCTTTATTTATTGGAAAGTCAGATATACAGAGAGGAAGAGAGACAGAAAGGAAGATCTTCCGTCCGATGATTCACTCCCCAAGTGAGCGCAACGGCCGATGCTATGCCGGTCCAAAGCCAGGATCCAGGAACTTCTTCCGGGTATCCCACATGGGTGCAGGGTCCCAAAGCTTTGGGCCATTCTCAACTGCTTTCCCAGGCCACAAGCAGGGAGCTGGATGGGAAGTGGAGCTGCCGGGATTAGAACTGGCGTCTATATGGGATCCCGGGCGCGTTCAAGGCGAGGACTTTAGCTGCTAGGCCATGTTGCCACCGGGCCCAAGAGACCATTGTTTCTACACTCTCTCTTTTTTCCTTCTTCTTCTTCTTGCTTCTGGGAGAAGCAAGGAGACAAGGGGAGAAGCCATACCCAGGCTCCCAAATGCCTCTGTACCCTGGGATGGAGGACAGCCATCCAGCGCCATCCCAGAGTCCCTGATGTGGGGCAAGCTCCATGGGCCTTGCTCAAGAGGTTTTGATAGTTCCACAGTTCTGAATTACTGCCGATCTTGCCACTCCAAGCACGATAAAATCTTTCCAGAATCCATTGGTTGACAGTTCATCTTAGAGTTTCCATTTGCCCAGATATTTACTGCCAACATGTAGTTGGGGTAGTTGATCAATTTGTTCTGTCCTCCATCGTCTATTGTGATATCAGGTGTCCTCTGCAGGCTCTAATGTGCTACCATATTCCATGTACACTTGGATATACTGTCCACTGCTCTGTCTAAGCCACTGAAGAGGCCCAGCTCTGATACA